GAGCAGCCCGGCCTGGTGTCCCCAGCGCAGCAGCTCGTGTCCCCCGCGGCACACCCGCAGTACCCAGCCCTGCAGTCTGCTCCCATCCCGCTGGCAGCGCCTCCGCAGCTCTCGGCATCTTCCACCCAGATTCAACAGCTGCCCTTGCAGTCGGTGCAGTCGTTACAAGTGCAGCCTGAAATTCTGTCCCAGGGGCAGGTCTTGGTTCAGAACACTTTGGTTTCCGAGGAGGAACTGCCTGCTGCAGAAGCTTTGGTCCAGCTGCCGTTTCAGACTCTCCCACCGCCGCAGACGGTCGCAGTAAACCTTCAGGTGCAGCCGTCGGTTCCCATTGAAACTCCAGTGGTAAGTGGTGACATTGCATCCCTTGTTCTTTTTCCTGGGCTTCTTCAGAGCTGGGAGTATGGCCCCTTGGCTCCAGAGGGAGTTAAGCAGGTGCTAGGCAGAGGACAAGAAACCAGTTGATTACAATAGACATTTTTCTTCTGATTAATTTTTTTGGCTTTTTTGTAATGGATCATTAGTCAAAAATATCAACCAGTGTCATGAAAGTGCAACTCTAGCGCTAATCTAAAAATCTTATTTCTGAGTGAAATGGTGGTATATTTAAAGCTCAGAAGTAAGTAAATCTATCTTAACGTGTTAAAATTAATTTTGGTAACTATACCATATGGACTGTAACCTTTTGCTTCTTGATTGTAATACAAATTCACTCATTGCAAATTTTGAGCAAGAGAGTCATCTCCATACTAGATGTGAAGGTGTAGAGCAGATTAATAAGATAATATCTGGATAATTAATTTTATATTAACATTGAAAATATCCTCATCATAAAAGAATAGGGGAATTTTTGATACTGTCTTGGTAATCCTCATCACTGCCATTTTATTTGATTCAGGGTTAAGCTCAGACGTCAGCAGCTTCTAACTGAAGATTTTGGCTTCAATCACTGAACTAAAATCATGTGCAGGGAAATGAAATGATATGCAGATAAAGCTGACATTTAAGATGGCATTGCTGGGCCTTAGTGGTAATTTGCTAATGAGATTAACTTGAGCAAAAGAATCAAGGGCTCTTGTTGGGTTTTGGGGGCTATTAACAGGTTAAGGAAGGAGGTGTGCTGTTTGTTTTTAATTTATATTAAGAGGGTAATAATAATCTGATATTTCATGTCAAAATTGAGTAAAAGAGTAGAAATCAGGTTTGCTTTTGATCGGGTGATATTTTGCATTTCAATCTGCTAAACTGTCAGTAATTCATGTAAATTTACTTAAAAGGTTTTAAAGAAAATACCTTAAAATCTCTTACAACCACTTATGGTTGATAGTCTTGGTGTTCTCTTCCAAAATACTCAGTTGATTACGCTGCTGTGTAAGACAGAGAAAAATTTGCAGACTTGTTATTATGCTATAAAACTTGCATTTTGCAGATGTTTTTCAATAGCTACAAATGTAAATACAGTAAACGTACAGAGAAGATCTTGAAAAAGTGAAGTTCTCTGGTCTGTTTGATAGGAGAACTTGTGCCTCTTTATATTTCGCCATTTGTAACAAAATAATTCTGCTCTCATAGACATTGTGATGTCCTCAGAGTTCATTGTTTGGTGTGTGTTTGGAAACTAGTATGTTATTAGAAGATTAGCATATTTTAACTGGCAATTTATTTTAAAAAACTGTATTTATGCAACTCTTTTAAGGTATTAAGGTAGAATGGAAATCTCTCTAAAGCAATAGTTTGTTGGATGCAGATTTACCAAGTGGAAAATGTGTGTGAAGAAGAGATGCCCGAGGACTCAGATTGTGTCCACATGGCTAGAACACCTACACCACCCACCTTGTCTCCACCAGCCATAACCTTGGGGAATGGAGAGGCTCTTCATTCAGAGGATCCCTTGTCAGGTGAGGACAAATGTCAGACTAAGGTAGCTTTTGACTTATGGATTTGTGATTTGTGTAAGTAATTAATGGCCAATGATGCTTATAGTTAGTAGGTACTGAGTAAAGGAAGAGGTTTAAATGAGTGTGTGTGTTTCTGGCATAGTCTGTGAAGATACACTTGTTTTGAAAGTAAAAGGGTGTGTGTTTCTGGCATAGTCTGAAGATACACTTGTTTTGAAAGTAAAATCTATAAACCACAGGGAAGAGCCTGTGTTAGGGGATGTGGGGGCAGAGATGGGTCTGTTTATAACCCCTTCTATCCAGAATTCTGAGCCAGTGTTTGGACACAACAAAGCATGTCATGTTTTTATCATTTATCTTTTTCAGAGCACGGGGGACTACCTTCAGTGACATCATCAGTCAGTGCCTCAGTAATTAAATCTCCATCTGATCCCTCACATGCCTCTATTCCACCACCACCTCTTTTGCTCCCAGCAGCAACAACAAGGAGCAACAGCACATCAATACCTAATAGCATTCCTAGCCTAGAAAACAAACCTCCACAGGCTATTGTTAAACCCCAGATCCTCACCCATGTCATCGAAGGCTTTGTGATCCAGGAGGGGTTGGAGCCATTCCCTGTAAGTGTAAAAGTTGCTATGAGTTTTTTACTGCTAATTTTTGAAAAAAAACCCTGTTTGTAAGGATGTTACTTTTGACTAGCAGGTATTTAGATCTTGAATTATTTTTCAGATGTTGGGTTTGATCTTTTTTCCACTGATTGGTGAGTTGAGTAGTAGGTTATGTCCAGAGAGATAAGTGCAGAGAGTGATTTTAGTCTGCCATTTGGAATAACTGTTTTACGTTTGTCTGTCTCCTAGGTCCCTCAATTTAAGTGATACCTTAATTTAAACCTCAGAGCTGAGTCTGTGTTAAAATTCTAACATGTTCCAATTAGTTGTTTAAAGCACTGTCAAGCTCCTTGCTGGGCTAGCTGTGATTAGTGCTGTGTCTGGTAGGAATTACTGTTGAAAACTTTAAATCCACATGTGGACAATTTAAAATCTGCCTTATTAAATAGTTTAATATGTGTCTCATTTCCCTATTCCATCATTTCTGTGGATATGGTGTGTTTCTTGCTTTGTTAAATGTAATTGCAAACTCTGCAGAGCAGGAGTGAGTCTTTATTTGTGTGAGGAATGGTATGTAGAGCTTTGGCACTACCTTATAGTGATTCGTTGACAGAGTAGAAACTGTGATCACCTTCAGTTACAACTCCAAAGCCACAAATACTGTTTTTAGCTATTCACTGCTCAGTTCATCACCGTTGCTTTGCTTTTGTTGCAACAGGTCAGTCGTTCATCCTTGTTGGTGGAACAGCCTGCAGAGAAGAGTTTGCTAGTGGAGGGTCAGATCATGAGTGTTGTGTGTGTTGAGTCAGACTTGCAGAACACAAAACACGCCGACAATTCATCAGACACAGAGATAGAGGATATGATTGCAGAAGGTTTGTAGTTTTTGTTTCGATACCCATTTTTTTCCCTGCAGTTCTGTATGTGTTACAGAATCCCATCCTGTCTGTACTTCTGGAATTTTTCTCCAGTCTTTACTCTGTCTCTAATAGAAACTTTTTTCAATGGGTTTTACTAGCTACACTCCATAACAGCAGTTGCTGTAGGTGCACACAAATGTCAGGGCACTATGCACTTGTCCTGCTTAGAATACAGTGATCTCCAGCACAGCTCCTGACCTAAATTGAGTTCCCCATGCAGTATCCAACCCAGTTATCATCATGGACTTGTTAGAACTCAGCAGTCAACTGTTTTGAGTGTGTAACACCACTATTACTGTTCAAACCAGCTCAGCAGAGTTACACTAAGTTTTTACACACAAAATGAGACCTGTAAATCTCTTGGCTAATGACTGTGCTTAGTAAATTGCTATTAAATAAACTTCCTTGATCAAAAGTACTGCTTTTATTTAATACCTTTTTCCCCCCAATATATTTCAAACAAAAAACCTTTTTGCCCTGTGGTGTATCTTCTAGAATATTTGAAGCTTCGTTTGCAAGTTAGTTTGGCCTTAATTTGCTTCACTAGATGCTAATTCATTTTTCTCTTTGGTGTTGACACTGCTGTTTCTCAGATTTCAAACAGCTTGTCTGTTGTATGGAATTGCTCAAACATTCATGGGTTTGGTTTTAATTATTATTCCTGACAGCTGGTGTTAGGTTTATGTACAAAATTTGTAGCTACTCATTAGATGAGCTAGTGGGAAACATCCAACATTGAGACACATCCACATATGCACAAGTTGAGCAAAGATTTTTTGATGGTATGATTGTGTGTGTGGTAGAAACACCCTTCAGATACCCTTTTTGGTATTTCCAGCTCTTTGCTGTGCTAGAGCTTTTTGTTCCCTTGTCAGTGCAGTAGTGTTAGCAAGCAGTTTGGTGAGTTGCTGTTGCTATTACAGACTTTTACAAAGGCATAGTAAAAATCTTTCAATTCACCTCGGGTCCCTGTGTTTGCATCAGAGCTTAGCAAAGAGTTCAGAACAAAAAGCTAGTTTGCAATTTTTGCCATTATGTAAAATTAGAAATATGAACACAGAAGGTGAATAGCAAAAGGCAAAGAATATGAAACAGTGACTGAGGTAAATTAGCAATGTGGGAGAAATGTGTGTTTAGTCCTCTGACTTTGTGAGCTGTGTGTTTTGTCTGTGGTTGCGGCCACGTGACCTGAAGTTCTTTCACTTAACCTGAATGACCACAAAATGTTACATCTCAGTTTGTGGCAGTTTCTCTGATTTATTCTTTACCATGTGTTTCACATGGAGATAAGGTGGTGTTTTTTCATGCCACACAGCTCCAGTTGGTTTGCAGATATGGTGGTGTTACTCTAAACCATGTCCCATCCATGTTCCACCCATGTGATTCTCCTCCAGCAGAAAGCACAGACACTGAGCACATGAGGTGTGTGCTGCCTTGTTGCCTTGCACTGCCTTCACTGGGGCTTTGCTACTATTTTTTCCACTGATGCTTCTCTCAGCTTGTGTTTGAGTTCTTCACAGGGAGCAGGAAAAGTGGTATGTCATCTCACCAATAGCAGAAAAACGTTCTCTAACAGTAGGCTGCAGTCAGAAGATGCTTTAGTCCTCCTCTTCCTTATATGCAGCTTATCTTTTTCATAGATTCAAGGTTTTCCTTGCTTTCCCAGGTCCCTTTGGTTGTAGCAGTTGCTTATTCAAAGAAAGTATTTTAAAAGGTTAATGCATTGTGTTATTACAGGGGAGCTTGAATTTAGAGGGTGGAATTCCTGGTTCCTTAATGAACTCTTTATAAAGCAATTCATGAAGACTGTAACCCTTTTTAATTGTTTGCTCTGTCTGAGGGCACATTTGCCCCTGAATTGCTTGAAACTTAACAAAAAACTGATTAAATTCATTGAATAATTTAATTGAAGGTTCAGTAAGGTTCAGTTTGCTCAAGATCTTTTTCGGTAGAGAATGAAATCTATGACTTGCTTAGCTTTGCATAATTTTCTGTTAATCAAAGTACTTAATTAAATGTGTTAGATGTTTGAAGATCTTTTGAGGTGAGAAGTGGGAACATAATTCTATGTCATTGAAACTGACTTCTTTATGCCTCACTCCTTTATTTAGAGGGACTGGATGAAATGGAAAATGATCTTCTGAAGTGTGAATTTTGTGGAAAAATGGGATATCCCAATAAGTTTCTGCGGTCGAAAAGATTCTGCTCCACATCCTGTGCCAAAAGGTAACTGTCTAGTTATTGTTTTTAGCTGGTTAACAGATTAACCTCTCTTGGATAAGAGAGAAAGAAATCACAGCCAACATGTCAGTGTAGAATCTTCCATCATTATAGCTGGAAAACTGATGTTTAATCCCAGATGTTTTAGAAATGGGGAATAGTTTCCCATTTCTTGTCACCACTTGGTTCTTTTATTGCATCAGTGTGCCTGGAGATGACTTTTCTCTTACACCTGCTGCATTCCCTTTTTCCATAGTGGGAATATATTAGATTTGGTACTTGTTGGGTCACCACCAGTGAAATAATCTTAAAAGGAGATTTGGCCCTGTAATCTGAACACGGGATTCTGGCCTCCATCCTCCTTTGGGTTTCAGCTAGGTAGAGAAAATGGAACCAAAAGTGTGACTTCAGGTTTTTCGTGGATATGCCAGACAAGCAGGGATGGACTATGGGATAAAGTGCAAAGGTATTCCTAGCACTGATGTTTTTAAGAGTGGGAAGGACAGACATCTTCCAGGGATGATAGAGATGTACTTGATCCTGCATCCAGGTGAGGGTTATGAGCACATGGCCTCTGAGATCCCTTTCTCTTGTATTTCTGTGATAGCTGTTCCACTTACGCAGCATTTCTACCACACTGCAATTTTATGGTTACTTGACTTGAATTCAGTCCAAACAAAACCAACCTACTAGTGCATTATTGAATATATCTTACTTCTTTAGGCACAGCCTTAGTTGCACTAAGAAATTTGGGCTGTTTACATCAGACAAGACCAGTCGTTGGAATCGGAAGTCAGATAGCCAAAGTCTTGGGCGACGCGGGCGTCGGCCGAGCGGCCCCGAGGGGGCGTCACGGGAGCATTTTCTTAGACAGGTCTGTGCAATATTTGCTTCAAACTATGGCACTGCTTCGGGGATTGCAAATAAAGCCTAATACAGGAGTGTATCTGTACTGCGTTTTCCAGCTTCCAATTACTTATCCATCTGCAGAAGAAGACTTGGCTTCTCACGATGACGCAGTTCCGACGGCCATGACCACCCGACTGCGGAGGCAGAGCGAGAGGGAGAGGGAACGGGAGCTTAGGGAGCTGAGGATGAGGAAGATGCCCGAGAGCATCGACTTGCTGCCAGTGGTGCAGACTGACCCCTCAGTATGGACCGTCGATGAAGTTTGGGCCTTTATCCATTCCTTGCCTGGTATGTAACGTGCAATAACGTGTTCTGGTTTGTTAACAGTAAAGGTCTTCGCCTTTTCAGCATTGTTGTGGCGAGGAGGTGGTGTGGTGTCAGCACTAGTTGGTTGGTGATAGAGACTGGAATGTGATTTGTTTCCTCTTGCTTGTTCCTTCAGCACAAATCTCATGTTGATAGAACTAGTCCCACTTCTGCTGTTGCATCCCAGCTGATGGAGATTACAGCTGTTCCTTCCTTCAGTCTGACTTCTCTCAAGAGGTCAGTAGAGAGATCAGACACACTTCCTCCCTCTTACGCTTTCTTCTCTTCTCTCCTCACTTGCTGCTTATTCAGTAGAAAAAGTAAGAGCAGTGTTATTTCCCTTGATACAACCGAAAAGTTTGAAAGACCTGTCCTGATACAAGTCATTAAAAATGAATAGAGAAGTTTGTTCTATAAAGTTAAACTTTATTTTGCACAGCTTTGCTCAGAGAACTTCTGCCTAGAGTCTCTGCATACTGGTAGGAATTGTTTGTTCCCAGAAATAATCTAATAACCTGTGAGGAATATATCTTCACTGCTAAGTCATACACATTACAGATAATCTTTTATGGTAGGTCAGGCAAAGAATTGAGTAAGAGATGTCTTAAATCAGCAGAAGTCATCCTTGAAGTACCTTTCTCCTGATGTTTGTTTCAATTAACTTACATTATCTACTCTGGGAACCTGCAGTGATGTCTCTAAAGACAAGCAAAGCTCCTTAGGTTTAACACATGCTCGTTCGTGTTTCTGTACTTGAGCTCTGTTGCTGGAATGTTGTTATGTCACTGCTGTTTTCAGTTGCTGTTCTTACAGATTTGAGGCTCTAGTTAACAGCTGATCTGAGGCTCTGGAAAATAAATGGTAGTTTCTGTCCTAGAAAACTTGAGGTACCACAAAACACAATTCACTTGCAAGTATGAAACCCAAAATATCGTTGTTAAAATGTGGTTTCTGTTTTGAACTCATTACTTTAGAATATTTCACGAGCTGCTGGATCTGTGGGGTTTTTTTGCTATTCTGTCAACAAGGTGATCTTTGATTTTAAACAGACTTTCTATTTCTCTGTATTTACTGAAAATTTACTATAATTACTTGTTCCCATCCGCATAAAGGCCTAGTTTCTCAAATACTTGTTTTGAAAGTTCATTAGGCACTTAAAATTACATTCCAAACACCAGGGACATCTGCTTTGATTTACAGCTTTCTGCATAGTCTGTAGCCAAGATCTAACTGTGGACTCACATGTCCTTGTCAGGTTTTTCCTGAGTTCCTCTGGAGCCTTTTGGAGGAGTGAAGATTGTAGGACACTTCTGCTGTTCCTCATTTCTTCTGGGAGAAGAGACAGCAAAGTTTTAAAGCCAAGCAGAATTGTTCTCCTTTCTTTCTTCTGCTGATAAATGGTCTTTTACTCTCTTCCCATCCTTTCTGTTTTTGGCCAAGTTATTGCACAACAAGCAATGAAAAAGTGCTTAAGAATACCCAGATGTGCTGGGATGAGGGAATGGAAATACATTCAACTTCCATCTTCTGCTTTTCCAAAGTGACTTTGATAAAAAGTATTTTAGAAGTTGCATGGAAATTCTTCATGTCCTGCTTAAAGAAAAAAGCCTGCAACAATATCCAGTTATCTCAACAACACCCAATTACCTATTTTAATAGGACCACTTTTGTTCCTAAATGTAGGAGCTTCTCTGGATCTCCCATATTCCTTGGATGATGTGCTGTGGTCTGACAGTCACAACGTTTAGGTCTCCAGTCAGACACACACTGATGCCTTTCACAGAAATACTTGATACTTGACTTACTGATGTTTTGTTTGTTGTCAACACATGAATAAAAACCCCTTTCTGATGATGTTACAGCTAATTGTTGCCTGAGGTCTGTTTAACAAATCATCCAGAAAATTGTCATGCTTTATTCTTTGTGGAAAGCTAACCTCTTCCAGCCTTGAATGGTACAACCTTTACACAGTAATAATCCACATGCATTAAGGTCTGGATGTCAATAATTCCTTCCACATTTCCTTTCCATTTGTCTCTTACACATTTGTAAATCCATCAGGAAATTAGACTATCTGTTCTTTATAGAATGTAAATCTAAGCACACAAGAGGACATGAAATGAGTTGCTCTCATCTGGGGTGGAAGATGAGTTCTTCACGGTAATTTCATGTCTCTGTAATAGTGGACTTTTAAAATGAGAAAATATAAAAATGCCCAAAAACTAGGCTTAGCTGAGGAATAATTGAAAACAGGAATTTTTGTGGAGCACAAATTCAAGTGAGTCTGACAGGCTGTGAGACAGATGGGGAGACCACTGGATTGAGAGCACAAATACATGAACCCCGTGAAAAACATGGCTGTGGGGAAAGAGGCTTCAAATAAACAACTGACAGTGAGTGTTGTCATTCACATTGTTAAAAGACATTTGTCCATCTAACAGAGCTGCCACAGAGCCAGACATGACCAACTGTTTCTGCTTAACACAAGTCCAGAGCATTTTTGGGTCTTGGTGACACCTTTTGTTTCCTCAGTGTTCTTCAGTGGAAAGGAACCCTCAGTTACTTAGGACAGTACAAGCCATTGAGAGTCCTCTTTTTTTATGTTGTAAGGCTCAGTAACCTGAGATCATGTTATTTCATGTTCAGAATCAGAGTTTAGCATGAGGGAAAAAAAATCCAACTAGTTAAAGGTTGCACTTGTGAAATGAGCTACTGCTGTCTATAGATGATAAATGCCTTCGTGAGGTGGTTATGCTTAAGCCATAAATCAAGGTTTTGTTTCCTTAACCCAGTGGTGGTAACACACAGGTGGACTTCATGCCTTTGGAAGGTGTAGCTGTGTGGATGTTCCCCTTGAGTTGCACATAGCAATGGAATGTAGTATCTTTTACAGCAGTAGATAATAGTATCTTTTTATTGCTGGAAAGAACCCACTTGAATCATGCTCCTGATTGCTATTTCAGTGCTGTTTTCCCCTGTCTCTTCCAATTGTGAGAGGTTGTTCCCTTTTAATGAAATGAAAAAATCTGCCTTTGCTAGGACTTGGAATTCCCAATGAGTAATTCTCCAATAATTACAGTGTAATTAGAGGCTGTAGTAAAAATTACTTGGAGATTATCTCAGAAGTTCCCATCATCATATTGAAGTCTTGCATATACTTTAGGTTCTGCAAGCTGAAGGGATGAGCACTGGAAAATGTGTAGCTGAAGAGCTCTAGTATGGACAGAATCATTGGGTCTAAGAATGCATTTGTAACCCAATAATTGTGTTTCTTGTTGCCTTTTAGGTTGTCAAGATATTGCAGACGAATTCAGAGCACAAGAAATTGATGGACAAGCTCTCCTCCTGTTGAAGGAGGATCACCTTATGAGTGCAATGAATATTAAGCTTGGACCTGCATTGAAAATCTGTGCACGTATCAATTCCTTGAAAGAGTCCTAGGAGGTGAACATGAAGGTTTAAACAACAGTTTCTCAGTGACAGAACCGACAGTAATATGTCAACACCTTCACTGTGGCAGGAGTGTTACTGTGATGTTTTGTTACATGGGGTTTTCCCCACCTAAAGACTTTGAAATGTTCCTTTGATTATACCAGGTAGTCCTCTAGTTTCCAACAACTAATAGGTTCATGGTAAAGCCTGAGGTAATACTTTGAGTTGAAGATTTGTCATGGGAAAACATGAAGTGAAATATGCTGTGATAGGTTAAATATTCCCCAACATGTAATTCATCTTATGAGTTTAAGATTAACACCCCAGCCCCCACCCCAGTCTAGACACCATTTAAATTGTGTTGCTGTGTTCTGAAAGGATTTTTCCCACATGCAGCAGTGTTGGGACTGAACTAACAGAAGTGTCCACAGGCCCTGTGGAAGCACTAGTATCAGTAAAATGCTATGCATTTAGTTGTGCTCTCTGAGTTTCTTTTAGTCTTGAGCAAATTGTAAGGGGTAGGTTGGCAGCTGGTTTTCCTTGTGTAGGCTTACCCTCATCTCTGCCAATATAGTATTTTCTTGGAGTCTGTAAAATACTATAAACCATGTAGATGTCTCATCAGAATCCTCTTGATCAGGCTACTGACACTCCTGCCAGAGGGAACTGAAGCACATGTTACTTTACTCTTTGAATGCTGCTATGCACTAAGGGGGCATTAAGTGTTAGGTTTGTAGTTTCACATGCTGCTAGTTAGACTAGACCAGCAGTTCTCAAATTGGGGGTCAGAGTGGATCCTGAGGAGGGGTGTGAGCACTCAGGCTTCAGCTTTCCAAATGCCTGGCTGAAAACTGCAGCCAGGACCAGCTCATGCTGAGACAAGTTACTTTAGAAACTGGAGGTAGAGAAGGGACATCATAGCTCAGATGCCCTTTTGCTTGATACCTCTTCTAACTTGTCTTTCCCTGTAGTGCATTCCCACTGCCTCACTGGAAGCTTCCAAGCACCTTTAATTGTCTACTGGCCGGTGTGAACTGGGCTTGTAGTAGTCTGAGGAAGGAGCACAAGGCATTGAGGTCCCTTCAGAGCTCAGTGTAGGAGCTGCTGCTGCCATAGGGAGCCTGGAGCTGCAGGTCTGCAAAGTGCCACCACTTGGCAACTCTGGGAAGAATCTCCAGGGACCCTGCTGTGTCCCTCTGGCAGGAGATTGTCTTGGATGCTGCACATCCAGGCAATGGGATCTTGGCATTTTCCTCCCTCTTCCCTCTCTCACAGTCTTTGTGGAACAAGTACTTGTTTCCCCATTATTGGCACTCTGGGAAGCTGCCTGGGTTCAGCCCTTGCTTCCCCATCACCTGTGCACAGGTGTTCATGGATGTATTTTGTACCTTCTGTTCCCTCCCATTTGGAGCTCCACTCCCCTTATGTACAGACCTGGATCCCCAAGCTCTGGTATAGGGCAGGCAGGGCACGTGTGCTGATAGTCGTCGTGTATATTTGAATTAAATATGTGTATGTGTCTGCAAATAATGTATTTTGTATTTTATGCAAACTAATGCATAATATATGGTTGTGTAGGGAGGTGTTCAGGGGCACTGCACAGTATTCCTGAAGATAGGAGGAACTGACCTAAAGTTTGAGAACTGCTGCCCTAGATAGGAAGGAGTCGATGCACGTGCACTGGCTGCAAGGCAGGTGTGTGACAGGTTGATTAATATGTTTATTATTTAACTGACAACCTTAAAGAGTAAATTGGGATGTCAGAAAAATCTGTGCTTCATTTTCCTTTCATTATACTGTTGCTTTGTTTCCAGTAACAGACTTCCTACCTTCTGGAGATCAACATAGAGTCATTGTTTTTAATTACAACTGTTTGAGGTTACCAGTAGCTGATGTCATTAATATTTTCATTAACCACTGAAACTCCAGGTTAGGACAAGCCACTGCTGTTACATGCTGGTGTGTGGTGAGAGCCCTTACTCAAATGGCACCAAAGGCTTTAGAGAAAGCATTGTTGCCTGGGTTTGTTTTGGAGGGAAGTTGCTAAGCACTTTCTCATTTGTTTGGGTTTTTTTTTCCTGTCTTCAGTTGCTGTTGTAAAATAAACTTCTCAGTTGAAGGTCCAACGTTTGGCAATGTTCATCTGAAAGATATTCAAATGATGGAGACAGTGGGTTCCCATCTGTAGCACTTCTGTAAGATACACAGTGTAGCATATCTGTAACATATGTTCTAAAGGGCAAGTTCTGTTTTGATGAGCTAATTGAAGACTAAAGATATCTTAGATATTTATCCTTTGGCTTTTGTCTTAAAGTTTTATTATTTTTATACAAAAATTTCTCTGGCTAATTTTTAATCTGTCCTGATTGTACTGTTCTTGGGCTATGTAAAAAGTAGGGATACATAAATGTGGTTTAATGGCTTAAGGCATATTTGAAATGTGGACTTAGGTGTCTTGTTTCGACCTGCAGTTAATCAGTGTTACGTGCATGAGAATTTCATGGCTGTTTTAATTCTGCTTTACTAGACAGCTTTCAGGAGAGCATCTCCAGCTAGTGTTTATGTCCAGCTCTGGAACAATTCATGCCAGGAGCAGACCCCAGGCACACGTCTGTTCCTGTTCTTCTGGTACATGACATTCCCTGTGGATTTGGGAGAACCACAGATAGTGAGTTATGCTTTAAATATTCATGAATGCAGCAACTAAGAATGTGGGCCTTATGTATAATGAAAGCTTTTTCTCCTTCACTGATTTTGGTGTTAAACAGGAACTTAAAAGCAGTTACAGCTCTACCAACTGGTACTGATAGGAATGCACTTATACAGGAGTGTTTGCCACTATAGCTGTGTCAAGAAAATCAGTACAGCTGTGCCAAGAAAACTAGTTTTAAAAAAATCCATTAAAGTAGTCTGGAATGCTTCCCAGTGCAACTGAAGTCTACTTCAGAAGCTTGGGAATTTACTCAAAAAAAAGCAGTATAGTACATGGAGAAATATTCCTCCAGAACCATTTTGCATCCCAATCACTTGTTGCTGTTCAAATAGATGAAGTTTTCCCAGGCTTGTGCTACCATTTCCCATGGCTTTCCCACACATTAGGCTGGACTCTCTTGCAAAAGAGGAAGTATTGCAGGTTTTGATTGACTGGTTTTAACATTTACTTACACTGGATGTGTCTACAAGAAATCTTTTCCTTAGCTTTGTTTCCTGGGGTTTTGCTTTCTCTATTCAGACTTGTACTGTTGTAGGCTACATCTCACAGTGATCCGTGCAATATTTCAGTTCCTGTAGGAAGGAATACAGGATGCTGTGGGGTCTTGGCTTGGAAGGGAGATATGTTGGATGGCTTTTTCCCTTCCTATTTCTCCCCTAATCTCCATCCCACCCTACTCCTTAGTGCAAACTGCAGCATTAGCTCAGGACAAAACCCTTTTGCCAGAGCACTGAGCTGTGTGTGGCTGTCAAGATTTCATCCAGTAGAACTATTACACTTGTTCCAGCTTCAGGGCTTTAAGGAATGCCCCTGAATGATCAAAATGGGTGTGCAGCCTCCCCTTGTTGATCACTCAGCATCCCTGCTTTGCAGCAGGGAACTCCAGTGGGGAACCTTAGCCACCTCCACTGACCTAAAGTGCCAGTTGTCTTGGGTCACCAGAGCGTGCTTGGAGGGGTTTTAATCAGGCCTCACTATAAATCCATCATATTTTTTCCAGAAATGAAGCTCCTGATGGAGGGTAAAACCTTTGCTAGATTTTTTTCCATGAGAATATCTCAAATAGAAAGTTTGTCCTGCATGTTTGGATTTCTTCATGTCCTCATTTCTTTCCTGTGCAACAGGTTTTATACCCCCTGACTTCTTTTTGGACAAATCCTGAGGGGGAATCCAGTCTTTTGGGTAGAACAGATGGAGTCCATTGTGATTGCAGATGTGGCAGCAAGAGGAAAGCAGTGGGATCAGACCAAGTGTTTGGGCAGGTTTATGATAGCCTTTGCATCACTTCTGTGTCTGGAGCTTAGCTGTAAGGAAATGTTCAGGTATAAAACCATTGCAGTGTGGTTTGAACAGAGGTTTGTCCTGAGCCTGGGCTGGGTGTAGCATGGCACTGCCTGGCATGCCAGCTGAAACTAATACTTATTCCAGGTGACTGTTCTCATTTTAATATCACAAAATCAATGCAGAAACTTCCAGCTCAATAGCTTAAGAGATTTCTTACACACTGACAAATGTAGAGTGATGAGTGACCAGTGCATTCAGTGACAGCTGTGCTGGGAGTTTTGCAAGTAATTAGATATCCACATAATTTAGAACATGAGTAGTTCTGGTTGCGTTGAGAATATTCATATTGAAATTCAGCATGTAGAAAAGCTTGTAGGGTTATTTTCTTACCAGTGCTGCATAGAGATGTCCTGTTAGCATCTATTTATAAACACAGTCGTCATCATTAGCCAGAGTTGTACTCATTGATTGTTCCAGGCTGCAGGTAATGACTCTGCAAAAGAATCAATCTGGGATGCTTTTTACTTACATTCACCTAAATTAGTTTATTAGAGATGGAGAGAAAGTGGCATTTTAGAGTGTTTTGTTTTAAATGTACTGTTTCTGTTCAATGCTGAGTGGAACAGGTACGAGCAGAGTTATAAATGTGTAATTTCAGTGTAAGGTTAATTGCTCATAGTGAATTCATTCTCAAGTCACTCTTTCACAGTGAGCTGTAGTTTCAGACAGGAAATATTGTGAGGAGAAAGAAATTTAAACTTTTAATACTTAGTTCATTTAAGTTCATTTTAAAAGAATTTGCCTTTAATAATGAGAAGTTATTTGGACCTTACGGGTTCTGTGTAATTACATCCCCCAGATGGCTTTGCAAAAGTGGTGATGATGGTACAGAGAAGTGCAGCAGTGTGGGTGCTCTGTCTGCTTTTCAGGAAGCTTTCCCTGGTCCAAGCTGATGGAGAGCCTGCAGTCAGGGCTGGGACACAGCACAGAGGCAGTGAGTACACATTGCCCTAATCCATGGGAATCAGCAGGATTTGTTTTTACCACCTTCATCTCATCAGAGCTCTGTCAGATGCCATTTCTTTCCCCGTGTAGATTTCTGGGTGTGGCATTCTGCTCCTTTGGGTGTCAGCTGGAGTGTTTTGTGTCCTGCTTTATCCCCTGGGTCTTGTGGTCAGCACTTCCGCATGCACTCAAGGCTCTGCATTGAAACTCTCACATACCTGCTCACCCACTTGAAGGCTGTGTGCAGTATTTACTGATCTCTTACAGCAAAGTGGAAGGGAAAAAGCAAAGTTCAAAGATCTGAATATGGTTGTAATTGCAGGTATATGATAAGAGCATAGTCCTGCTTTGGTAGCCATGGATCTAACTTTCCCAAAGCACAGCTCTGGGAATCAGTGTTAGGAACAGATTTCAAGGTAAAAGATTTTAAACTTCCAGCATGTATTAGCTTCCTGCCAAATTATCTAAAATTATTCTGAACACTAAGGAGATTTAGAAAGAATTTTCCCACATAGAAATAATTTTAACTTGAGCACAATTGTACATCCATACAACAGTGATCATAATTACTGTGTAAGTGCAATACATAACACTTAAGGAGCATTTTTATTGTGTTTGAACAGCACTGTATTGGTACATAGGGTTGTTGAGAGGCTTGTGATATTGTTCCTAGGTACTAAATGAGGTTATCTGTGCTGCATATGGGATCAGGCTGAAAGGACAAATGTGCTTGATTCATGAGGCATATCTGCTTTGTGGGTGAAGCCCACTCAGCCTGTGGGAAGGCTCGTGTTGTCCTCCACTGCCTAGCCAGGCTGTTCCCATCCTCTGGCAGCTTGTTGCAAAGTTGGTTTTGGAAAGAACAATGAGAGATTCTGCACACCCAACTTCCTTTTTAGGTAGTGTTTGTGTCACAGAGTGAGCAAACCAACACTGAGCAGGAAAGATGTGTGTGAAGGTGAAGGGTTTTGTCAATGAGTGCCAAGTACTCTATTTAGAGTTGAAAACACATAGAATATCTCACTAAAATCAGTGTTGATTTGTAAGAGATTCTTTATATGAAGAAAGTACAGAAGGTTCTTGTAAATGGTTAACACCTTAGCTGGTGTTACCATTAATGTCAAATAATCCTATAAGAATTAAAGACTGTAAAGTATTTGAATGGTCTAAGGCCATTAGTTGCTGGCACAGCACAAGAAGTGATGTACAGAGGAGATGGAGCAGTGGCTGTCTGTAGTTCTTTTAGTTGAGATACTACCACCTTCCAGGCATGACTTCTGTCCTCTTTGGCAGTGAAATTGTCATCCTGTTCCAGAGAGGAATGGTCCATCCAGGGCTGCATGGCAGGCCTCAAGGCTCAGTGTTGGGGGTGCCCAGAAAGCACCAGGTAAAGGAAAATGCACAAAGATATAGTTGTTAGGAAGGCAGTAGGACAGAGATCACATCTGGTGTCTCCCTCCATGAATGACAAGGATAAAAATGGGATTACAAAGAGAGTTACCACTGCTCAGACGCCACAGTTGGATGTTACGTGGAGACCTGTAGTGCCACTGGTGCCTCCTCAGTGGGTGCATCCACAGCCTAAAAGTTTATGTTCTTTGGCACTTTTCCCCAAAAGTTCTGGAAGAATGAATTTGACAGTAACACAGTGATGTAACATCAATCCATTAATATTTGCTTTGGTTGCATGTTGTGGATTCCCTGTTAAAAAACAGAGTTTTAAAAACTCTGTTTAAAGAAGTGGCTCTAGGAGCACTGCAGCAGCTGGGAATTGTGCCACGTTGGGGTGTATGGGGTTGTGTAAACATTAATTAGGGGCTGGGAGAAGCACACTGATAGATCACGGCAGCAGCCTCACCCTGCTTGTTGCAGTTCCAGTTCTGTGTCTCTGAGTGAATCACAAGGGTGAGACTCACCATACAAAACACCCGAAAGGGGCCTGAAAATCACTTTGCCTTCACCTGGTGTGCAGTGAATTTTAACAGAGGAATCTCCCCCTGCCTGCAGAGTCTGTAGGGATTAGTTACTCCATGATTCTCAAATGCCTGGTGCATTGCTATATTTGAGGTATTTGCTGGTTTTTAAATGGAATTAGGTTTTGTAAATACTTTGTCAGCCCCATTTCAGTGGGTGTCCAGTTTATATAAACCTGAAGAAATGCTGTGTCCAAACCCTGTGTTTAGCCATGATTTATCCTACAGCACCTCCAGCAACTACGAAAACTAACAGCACTTACAGTTGGAAAGAGCAGAGACTGATTGCTTAAGATATTCTTTCCAGTTAACATGGTATGTGCTTTCCTACTTTTAACATGGAAATAGAATTTCCTCCCAATACATTTTCCAGCATAAAAGGTGAAATAATTTGTGGTGCCAAACACTTCAAACTGTTGTTAAGCGTTGCCTCCTCTTATTGCACTAGTTTTACAATTCAGTTTTTGATCATTTACTGCCCTTTTGATGGCCTTTTTAACAAATTTTTTCCCCAAAAAACCCCCCATTTTTTACTGCTGAAAAATGCTCATGTCCTTCTGATTGCATCATGGAAGGCTCAAAGGAGTTTGCCACAGACTGTGGGTGACAGAAGCACTATGTGGGGTGAAGGAATAAATCAGAATCATCACTCTTTGGTATGTTTCAGAAATATCAGAGTAATTTAAGACTGAGATGTGATTGTGTGTTCTTATGGAGTGATATACTGCAATATTCTTTTATAAAAAATTTTAGCCCATGTAGCATTAAATTCTGCAGTTTGAATTGATAATAATGTAAATTATAACCCAAAATTTAAATTTTACAGTTGAAGAGCACACGGTGACCTGTGTAAAAGTATGAGCTTCACTTTGTGAACCATTTTTTGAAAGAGCACTTTCCTATTGCCAACTTAGCATGTGAATGAATTTTGAGATTCTCTCATTTGTTATGATCTGTAGAAGTGAGATTTCTTTACTCTGTCTGTTAATGGGTAAATCCATCATACAAATGCTGAAACAAAGCACCTTATACTATGCTGCTTAAACTTGCTTGTAATTGCACCTTTTGTTATCTGCAGAGTTTCCCTGTGGGTCTGGGGGAATGATTAACCAACCTACAGCAGCATTTGCTTAGTTTCTCTTTCAATACAACCTCGTATTGTGAGTTCAGTGCTTCAGAAATAAATGCTATTTCATTTGTCTGCTTTTGCTGTGTATTGTTCATTTCTCTTCTAAAAAACCAAATGAAGGCCTTTATAAAACTGTAAGAATTTTAAAATGAAGAGTATTTTAGCTATTTTCCCCCCCTACTGAAGTAGCTCCCACTTCAAATCTAACTATTTTAAAGTAATTTTGGCTTCAAAATAAACTGTATTTTAATTTGAGCCATTCTTTAAGCTTGGGCATGTACTTCTATATAGCAACTAACCTTGTTGCTTACTGCTCTGTTAATATGTACATATACATTAAAGGAGGAGCAGAAAAGACACAGTGAAGCATCACCACCTCTCTTGGGGCTGTGGAAGTCACATCTTGGGCTGGTTTTGTGCTATGTAAACAAAGTTTTTCTGTAGGAGTTGTATCTTTATATTAAATCAACCAATTTATTTCTCCTTAAACAGACAACAACCCTTAACATCAATCAAACCGACAAAGAGGCACACCTTAACAAGAAAATGCACTTCAAGAAGCCACAGGAGTTTGAGCCTTTGGTGGTAGGTCAGCACCAGTATGGAACTCCAGCCTTGGAGCCTTTATTGCATTTCGTGCTGTGACACCTGAGATTATTTCACTTAAAATAAGTGTAAGATTCCAGTTATAAACATAAAAAATGGATTTCTAACTGAAAACTTCATTGATACAAGCAGTGGTCTCTTCTCAACCCTGTCCTTTGAAGTTCAATGCCCTGACCTGGCAGTGCTGGCTGCTCACTGACCCAGTGTCCTGCACACCAGTGCAATATTCCCCACAACACTGGTGGATGATGGATTCCACGGACTGCAGCCCTGGACACGTTTGCCTGTACTGTCTGTAAGGACTAAGCCACAGAACAGAGCCCACTCTTGCTTGCAGTACTGTGGTGTTTTCATGCAGCAGCTCATCAGCAGATGACAATTCCTGTGCCTGGCTCATCAGCTGGCTCTGTGTTTTCATTGTTAAATGGCATAAAGCAGAATTTCCAGCTGACAAATGGGTCTGTGGCCCACGCCTCCTCTGTCAGTTCCACATCATGGCATCGGCACCAGTAGGCTGCTGCAATGAGGAAGCTGTTGATGAAACACAGCCAGGGCACATTCATGTCCATGTAGGCAGGAATCTGCAGACCAAGGAGCAACAGGAGAACCTGAAGGACAACAAAAGGTGCCCAAGTGCCCAGAAAACAGATGAGGAGCCTGCTCAGGAGCTGCCACTTGAAGCAAGAGCTGTTGTTAGACACATAGGAGAACATCAAAACAGGCTGCTTGGCAAAGGAAATGAGCCTGACCGACAGCAACATGGATATCACCTCCTTCCTGCAAACCAGGAGAGCTGTGCCCAAGAGCAGCACCATGGCACACGACACTGAGTAGCTCTGCAGGCTGGCAGAGAGCGGACACTGGTCAGGAGAAAAACTGTTCTGTATTTCCAGTTCTTCATAGACAGCAGGAACTTTGAGAATGCAAAAAACCCCTGAAGTCCATATAACCACCACAGTGAATGCATAAAGGAATTTCTGACCTCTTCTAGGGAACTGGGATGTTTGGGAGACAGTGGTGTAATAATCCAGAGCAGCCACGAGGTACACAGGGAAATGCAAAATGCTGTAGGTTAGAGAAATGATCTGAGTGAAGAGGCAGATATGGTATTTGGTGAATCTCATGCCCCAGAGAGCAAAATCCTCAAAATAGAAAATGAAAGAGAGAGTCAGCAGCAGCACAAGATCAACAAGTGCCACTGAGGTGCAGAAGTAGCCCATAAAACTAACTTTCACATTCTTTGGCTTAACTTGCAACATGAAGAAATTAAGGGAGACTTTTCCAAGCATAATCAGGAGCAACACACTGCTAATTTCAAGGGGTTGGCTGACGTGGGTGCAGTGGTAGTGCCCAGAAGCATTTTCACAGAGTCTGGCAGCCATCCTCCAGGAGTCAGAACCAGCCAGAAGTGAGTATCACAGGGCACAGAGCTCCATGGCTGAAAAGAAAAAAAAAAAGTTAAATTATTTCGGGGTACCTCTACCAATACTTAATTCTCCATCACAGCAACTACCCAAGCTACACCTGAGATTTCCAGGGTCCTTAATTAAGAGTAAATAGCTTCACTAACACATTATCAACGAGTGCCTACACTTTATGTTCTTCATACATTCTGGAGAGTTAAAAGTTCAACATAGACCTAAGTTACTTTTCTAGCTTCAAAGAAAGGTTTGGGAAATAATGTTGACTATGTTCCTTTCTTGTAGAAAACATGGAAGTCTTTCTATCCAGCAGGGCAGAGGGATGGAGGTTTCAGAGCACAGAAATCCTACAAGACACAGGAGATGTTGCAGCATGACCTCACACCTCATTATGCTCATAGAGTCTACATGAAACAGACACTGCAGAAATACCCTGAAAGCAGGAAAAGCATCAATGCAGCTCATCCTTTTTCAGTGCTAACGTCCTGGAGGTCTGAGGCAATCTAAATCACACACACTTCACTAGTGATTGGGCTTTTTTGTTTACCTTTAAGCAGCAGAAGTACTACAGTCATAGGCACCTCAGAACAGCTGGTTTTCCTTTCAGAAACCGTAAGTTTCCATAAGATAACTATTTTCTGTGCATTAATTCCTAAGCAAAATGAACACAGGTGGCCTCGAGTACATCAGCAAGACACATCAGACAAAGCTGTATGTGCTTTCCTCTCTCTTTCCTTAAAGAATCAGGATGGTGTCAGTGATCTCAGCGACAGCAAAGAGCAGAGAAGCCAAGGCAGCTGTAAAAGCGAATTACCTCTTAGGCTTCTCTGCTAACAGTGGATTTAAATAGACACCTGCATTTTGTTACCAGCTTGCCCGAGTTACTGAACGTTTGAGTTAGTGAACGTTTGAGATCCTGCACATTTGAATTCATGTGTCCTGAAAAGCAGAGTAAGAGCAACTAGAAGTCCTTGGCAGCACGACGCGAGAAGCATCCATGGAACTCGATTCCAGGCCTACCTGTGCTCGCCGCTTCACTCTGCACAAGCACATTTCAGCCATCCTCTGCCACCCAACAGCCTCACAGTACGCCTGAATTCCACGTGTCTTATCTTCACATACCTGACACTTGTGCACGCAGAAAGGAGGAAACCTGCGCGCAAACAGGATCCAGCTAGGTGAGCGTCTAATAGCGATCATTTACACATCGTAACACGGCACCAGCTGCACGCGGGTCCCACCCGACCCGACCCGACCC